GCGTGCGAAGTGTCTTAAATTGGGACTGGTGAAGAAAAACAGAGTGCATTCACCCCGATTCACGAGTTTTTAAACAATTGGAAAAGTCGAGGCAAGGATTTCTGAAATAATTAAGTGCATGACATGGAGTTAAGTGACCGGGACATTGTTTTCAGGGCCAGGCCTGAAATGTCAATGAGCACTTGAGTTGAAGATAATCAACTACTGTGAAAAACTATGTAATGCCTATTCTAAAAGCAAGCAGTATAAATAATATAGGACAAAGACGTTGAACCATACTTCCGACATAGATATTGAATCAGATTCTATGAAAACTGACATCTTTCTATGAGGCAATACCACCTGGATTTTAAAGGAAAGAAAAGCACTACAAAGCCCAGCACATGAATGAAAGACATCACCCCTTATGTCTGTAAAATAGAAAGTTGTAAGGGCGAGCGATAGGATGAATTGACACTTGAGCCATGTACACCAAGTAAAGGGAACATTACCTTGCGGGATGAGGGCACCTCAATTGCAATAGGCAAAACGCTGGCAAGTAAGCAGCCGTAGAAGGCGACGAGGAAGGAGACGGGATCGTTGCTGGTGTAGACCAGGGCTACGCGATCCCTAGGCTTGAGGCTCAGCTCTCCCCGATGGCCCAGTTTATTAAGCAGAAGGAAAGCTATTCGAGTTGACCTCTACAGATTAAAAGAAAACAGATGTTACTATCCATATTTGTGCCCTACAGTCAGAACCTGTCAAGATTTTTTCGAAATATTAGGACGTAGATATGTCCCAAAAAAAACATTTCAACCCTTTGGATCTTTGTTTTCAGAAATCGAACGCCACAGGTTAGACTATTATATCTTAATCGTTTGGTTGAAAAAAGAAAGTAGACGTTACTATCCATATTCGTGCCCTACAGCCAGAGCCGGTGTTTAGGATTTTTCGAAGTAGTAGGATCTAAACATGCCAAAAAGCGTTTAACCATCTTGATCTGGCTTTTCAGAAGTCGAACGATACGAGTTAGAATATTACATCTTAATCTCTTAGTTCAAAAAGTTGATTTTCACAAGAGTCGGCAGAAGATGTGCTATGACTGTGTTGATGTTAAGTCTTAAAGGAAATAGACTGGATTCAAATGAAAGGAACTTCTTAAGTAATATAACGCAAAAACAACTGAATGATATTGAAATTATTATGCACGGCAGGTAAAAAGGATATTAAAGTCAATTCCCCCAGATCAAAATCGCGCATTCTGTGTTAAAAAATAAAAAGCTTGTGGAAACCCGGACTCCTACCAAATTAAACAAATCTGTGAGCTTGGGGA